CCCACGATAGCATAAGAAAACAACTAATCATTTATTATTATTGCTATTACTATTATTATTATACTTATGATTATTTTTGATCTCTCTTCAAATTACTGCAAGGTAGAACAGATACTTCAAAAAATACTTGTGGAATAAAGCTTATCAGATTACCCATTTTCATGGTTATACAGTTGAGAAGAAAATGGAATAAATATCCTCATTCTGAGACTGTTTTATCTCCTTGGACTTGACTTTTATCCAACCTCTAAAAATTACCGTGCATCTCTTTGCAGAGGCACCACACTAAATTTAGGTTCCCTCCCTCCACAGAAACAAAACTGGGGAGAGGACAGCTCCTCACCAAGATCAGAACCCCCAAATCTGCTGCCTGGCTCAAAACCAGGGCCTCTCCAACAATTTCTCTTAGTCTGGCAACTCAGCCTGCTCTCAACTGTCACACATGTGCAAATCCAAACACACCCTTTACCTCTTTTTTAAAAGCCTTATTTTCATATTTTCTTTAATTATGTAGAAATCATCCTTTTTTGGGGGTGTAAAAGTTACTGGAAAAATGACAAAATGTGGCATCTCCGCTGAGGCTGGTGCCTTCATTCCCTGGCATCTCAGAAGCAAGGGTAGATTTACTAGTCAGAACTCTACTGTGCCTGCCTAAAAGCAAGCTAAACAGAAGAGAACGGTAAATGCCTTCAATACTTTTTGAAAAAAATCCATCAAAGGTTTTGTTGAATGATATTTATAAGGGCCTTACTGTTCTCTTTCAAAAACTGAAATGCCCTTCCCCGACACTCGAAAAAAATCGCTTGTGCTTTTCATCTTTCCGTCTTAGAGTGTAAACATTGTTTTGAGTGAAAAGAGCTGAAGGAGCGCTTACTTTGCCTTGAAATTTTATTTTTAAATAAGAGAGGGAGAAAATCCTTTTTCTGACTAATACTAATAATACGGGTCAAAGTGTCAGGCGATATACAATTAAATGGAAAACAAAAAAGGTTCCCCCTCTTTTTCCCACAGCACAATGGCACTGGAATATAAATTACCAATGAAGATGAAATAATACTTCAAAGCCTGTAGGGCAGGGCAGTGCAGTGTTTACAAAGTATTTTCTAGGGCATGATGAGACATTAAAGATGATGGTAACCCATGGACTTGGGGGTGTTGTTGAATAGTCTTAAACTAGCATGAGGTAGGATTGTAGGTCCCTGTAGCCTGTGACCCCATGATATGCTTTGTTTCACGGGGCAGCTGCAGTTATCAACAGATGTTTCAGCAATAAATAATTGGTATCATCTCGGAAAAGACCCATCTACCTGGGGAGAGGGCATAATACCAAAAACACTGCCCAGCTATTACAGCCACATTAATCTCCCATCTCTCCAGGTTTCTCGGGGAGCGTACTGCAGGTGTTTTTCCTGGGAGAGAGTGAACAAACACTCTCAAGTCAGCGAGCTTTGTGTGGAGTGTAAAGGAGGTTGGCCTCTGCCATAAATTTCTGTCTGTGGCCACACACCAAAGGAGAAAAGATTGGGGGTGGGGGAGGAGGAGGGGGGTGCATGGGGAGGGAGGAAATGGGGGAGGCTGAGGAGAGCAGAAAGCAAAGCATGAAACACATATAATTTTTCTTGATTAAGTTCAGCCCAAGAGAATAACATTATAAATGACCCTTAATTTCACCAACCCAGGCACTCAGCGGAATTCTATGCTTAGCTTTGATCTGTTATTTGTGGAATTAAGTTTAATTAAATTAAACTTAACAGGGTTTACACTCTAAGTGTAATGCGAATTTTAAAAATAGAGGGGAAACTTTTTATGGGAAGGGTTCATTTCAAGGCAAAGAAAACCATGGCAAGTTTAGATTTGTGAAAAAACTGTAAGAAGAACTAACTTGGCTGAAAAGACAAGGTCAGTAGCCTTTGACTAATTTTTTATGTAAGAACAGAAGCTCATAATTAATTGATTATTAAAACATGGCCATCCAGCTTCAGTAGAGTATAATATTGAAATCAAGGGTAATGCGACAACAACAAATCATGGAATTCACTCGAGATACTTTTGACAAGCTAAGATATCAAAAGTTGCACGAGTTCACAGAGTGCTCTAGTTCTCCGTATTTAGAAAACTGAGTGGGTTAGTAATTGTGCACTTGGGGTCTGACACAATAGGAAAGCATCCTAAGAGTCTTGGGGAGGTGTGGTTACTTAATTTATAGTTTGATGGGGGAAGCTAAAGAAAATGATGTTCAGAGTCCAAAAAGCTCCCAGGTTAAATACATCAGGGGCTAAAGAAGCCTAATGGACACATTCTTGGAACTGCCTCTCGTGATCTTGGGAGCTGGACACAAACATCTTAATTCCCGATGTCTCTGTTTCCCCCAACTGTGACATCCATGCAGTATACAGAGGGAAAGTAGAAGGAATAATAAATGGGCCCTTAAAACAGTCTAACGATTATGAGCAGTTTGTCTCCCAACTCACATTCACCCTCAAATGCAGCCAGACCACGTTTTCAAAAGACCATCTTCAGTTTTTCAGTAAAGTCACTTCAGCTATGCATTCAGCAAAGGGGGGTCTGGAGGTTGTGAGACGGACTGAGAGGCGTAAAACTTTGGTTATGGTGATGCGTTGTGTTTTCCTGTCTCAGCCTGTGTTTGAAATTCAGAGGGACTTTCTAAACCCCAAACGTCAAAGCAGGGGTCCTGCCATCTGTGAAGCTATCCTGTTCTCACCTTCCCTAGAAAACCTGAAAGTTCCATACCACCGGCTGCCCAATCACACAAGGCTTTCCAAGCAGGTAAACAACTACTGGCTTTTCAGGAATTGGTCTCAGTCCAAACAAGTTCCTGGAATTGATGGGAAGGAGACTGCTTTTATTTATTTATTTCTTTAAAAGATTTTATTTATTTGACAGAGATCACAAGTAGGCAGAGAGGCAGGTAGAGAGAGAGGAAGGTAAGCAGGCTCCCCGCTGAGCAGAGAACCTGATGCAGGGCTCGATCCCAGGACCCTGGGATCATGACCTGAACTGAAGGCAGAGGCTTTAACCCACTGAGTCTCCAGGGGCCCCAGGAGACTGCTTTTATCTTAGGTCTCCTGCAGTCTTCACTTTGGAGTCCCTTTTACCCCCTACCATGTCGCTTCTCCCTTCACATCCCTGGTCAGGCTCTCTGACTTTCCCCTTTGCTCTTTATCCTATTCTTTCCTTTAGAACACTGGTTCTCACACTCTAGCATGCATGTGAATCACCTAGAGGGCTTGTCTAATGTTCATTGCTAGACTCAGCCCCAGGGCTTTTTGCTTGGTAAGACTAGGGTGGGGCCCAAGAATCTGAATATCCCACAAATTTCCAGGTTATCTAGTGCTGCTGCTGTGAGGTCTCATTTTCAGCATCACTGCTGAAGAACTGCCCTGTTCAACAAAATAGTAGCCCTATCCACATGTGTCTATTTATATAGAAATTGATTTTTTTTTAAATTAAATAGTATGAAAAGCATTCAGTTCTGCAATTATACTTGCCACATCTCAAGTACTGGAAAGCCATAGGTGGCCAAGGCCTTATGTATTGGTCAGCAGAGATATGGAACATTTCTATCATTGCAGGAAGCTCTGCTGGAGAGCCTGCATCTCGCCTTATGGTTAACAAGTTTCAGGAATTCTATCTGTGCTTTCAAGTTCTTCACTTGGGGCTTCCTGAGGGAGAACTGGCATTGAGGTGGAGAAAGGAGTAGCTCCACCATCACTGGTCGGTTCCCCTGGGCACATTCATCTCCCTGCCCCTTAATTTCCTCCTCTGTAAAATGGGGATGACAATGGTAATAATCACTGGAAGGCCATTCTGAGAATTAACTGCGCATGCATTTGTTTGTGCATGTGCAAACAGTTTGTAAAACCCACAGTTTTACACTAAGTGTAGTTATTATTCCATTCCACTTTTCCACCTATACCAAGACCGCCAATTTAAAATCCCTGGCTCATCCCTGCATACTTTCCAAGTATTCCCTTTTCCTGGCCTGCAGTCCTCAGTCTACTTAATCCCAGTCTGTTTGTTTATTTATGGGAGGAGAGGTGTGGGAAAAGTGGGGGTTTTGTTATTCTATCAAGCCTCCAAAGATGCCATTAGATGTATGTGGATCATGGACTCTTCCCCAGATTTCTGTTTTGATTGGCGAAGACAGTATCTATATACTTATTTTGGGATGACCCAAAAAACACATTCTCATGTAAACTGCTGAAATAAAGAGTTTAGGGTATTATTATTGTTTGTAATGCCTGGTCTCCAGACAAATAAATATTTATATATATAAAAAAAAAAAAAACAACCATATAAGCTAATAGACTCTCTTCCTTATCAGTGCTACCCAAAAGAACAATGACACTCCCTGTATCATCCCCAGAACCTAAGTCTGAACGCTGAGCTCAAATCCGAGTTCACATGTTATTTGTGAGGTCCTCTTCTATCCGAGGTAGAGATATTAGTTTGACTAATTTCCAATAAGTGAGTTGAGGAATAAGTAAATCAAGGACTTTGATTTGATGCCTCCTGAACAGCCTGCATTGTGAGGAGGATCCTGGGTTTGGGGGGACAGGGAGGGACATGGCAGAGAGCAAGTCACAGTGATGAAATATTGGTGAACTCCTTTTTTTTCCAAGCTACTCCACTTTAAAAAAGGAGCATTTAAAAATAAAAATGTTACGAGACATGGTAGAACCAAAACCGCTCCTCCTGGCCTACCAGTGATATAATAAATATTTCAGGATGACGGGTTTCTCCCTGGACCCCCTGACCACCCTTCTTCACTTTTACTTGACTCAGCTTTCCAGCGGAAGGTCTCATAGTCAGGCGATGCTTTCTAAAAGCTGTTTCCCCCACATTAGTCAATCTGGCAGAGCCGACCATAAGCATAGGGGCTGTCTTATGCTTCAAAGAAATTTAATCTATTAGACCACTTAGAGGCTAAATGCCTGGCTTGGGGGTGTCAGAGGAACAGGTGGTGTGGCTCTCCCTACCAGTAACTGCTGCAACCCGGCGCCAATCACATCCTGCAGGTTTGTTTTGTCCTCTGGGCCCACGGCTTGTTTGTACTGCCACTTTTCAGGCACGAAGGGCCACTTCATTTCCTTTGCCTCCTGGATCAGGGTCCTCAAGTCGCCGGGGAGTGAAGCTGAAAAGGTCAGAGTTCAGGTGAGGAAATTGCAGTCAAAGAAAAGGCTGTTGAGTTACCAATGTTATGATGAAGCACCTCAGTGGCAAAGAAACATTTTTCCTACCTCTTGCTGGCTGGTGGAAAGCTGGGGGTTCTGACTCAAAGAATAATAGCGCAAAGCTATCTGTCAGGGGTGGCCCTGGTCTACTTTGCCCTCAGGTAAATTGGGGTAGTCAGGCATTAAGAAAGGTTTTTAGCAGGAAGTAAAGCACTTCGGTGACTATCTCTGCGTGAAGAATCAGAGAAAGGAATGAAGGAAATATTATTTTCCCTGTAAAATGAGAAAGGGACTGAGATGGACTGCCATCTGGGACTTGTGGCAGCTGGTAAGGCAGAGAGTCAATTTGTACAACCTCTTTTTACTTCTCTAAGACATTGCATACTTTCACTACGGACTACAGTTGGATAGAGGTGATTGTTACAAAAAACCCAAATGAAATTTGAAATAGTACCAATTTATTGTGAAATGGCCCTGTTTCACCATGAGTAGACACGTGCCATATTGGAGTTCCGTGATCTCCTATCCAAACTTAGAAAACCCAAAACTCTGGAAACTGGAATGTTTTTTCGTAAGTTTGGCACGCTAACCAGACTTGAACTGACTGGGAGCTCTTTATGGTCTTGTTTATCTTATTTAGTGAGATTAGCCAAAAGTTTTGCTGCAAAAATTTTAATGTTTGACTCTAGATGCTGCCCCTGCTTCTGCTGGAGTGTGAATGTAACAGATGGTCCCTGCACCATACTACCTTCCTAACATTTGAAAAATTCTGGATGCTGAAGCATGTGTGAAGCCCCAGCGTTCAGGATTATGGACCTGATTACACGACTGATAGTTAGAAAGCTCTAGGTGCATATCTTACAGACATTTCACACTCAGAAGTGTCTAAAGCTGGGGGCGCCTGGGTGGCTCAGATTGTTAAGCATCTGCCTTCGGCTCAGGTCATGATCTCCATCCAGGTCCTGGGATTGGCCCCTGCATCGGCCTCCCTGCTCAGTGGGGTATCTGCTTCTCCCTCTCCCACTGCCTCTCCCCTCTTCTTGTGCTCTCTCTCTCTCAAATGAATAATGAATAAATAAAATCTTTTTTTAAAAAGTATCTAAAGCTGAACTCACCATCTTTCTTCTAAATCTGTTTCTCTACTCTTTATTTTGATGACTGCTACCACCATTCACTGAGTCACCCAAGAATAAAACCTAGAAATCAGGATAGACTTTTTGCTTTTTCTTCCCCTCTCAACCTAACCAGTTACCAAATTCTGTAGATCCTAAATTCCTCCTTTTCATTATCAGTAACTCTTGTCTGAACCACCGTTTCCTACCTTGCCCCATCCATTCCAACTTCCGCGGTGTTGATCCCCATTTTGCTAAAATACAAAATAGACCAGGCCATTGCCCTGAATAAAATTCTTTAATGGTTTTGTACATCTCATCCTCACATTTGCATTTCCCTCCCCCAATCCTTTCATGATCAAGCTCAGGCTGACTGGCTTCAGAGCAAATGTGACCACTTCTCATCAGCCTGCCGTGACCACCCTGCAGAAGTAAAATGTCCGTCCAGAGTGCTCTCAAACCCCAAAGTACATGGCCTTTCAGTATTCATCCCATTGCTGTGTCATCACACTTCCCTCTCACTGTACTGTGAGCTCCTGAAGACAGGCATCCTATCTTACCACCATTGCAAATCCCATTATGATGGTTAAAAGAAGGATTGGTCTTATATCTACATGAGACATGCTACATAGGACAAAAGAGATATGACAGAGAGAATAAAAAACAAAAGGAAGAGGAGGAAGGAAACCTAACTCTGCCCTAGGCCACGATGCTCTTCTGTGTCCTTGCCACCAACTGCACAAATGTAAGGAAGACCGCTGATGGGGAAACATTGCTTGGCACTAAGGAGATATTAAATGGGCCACACCAGTGAGTAATCTGTGCAGACTACTGAGAATGATTTACAAATATCCCACTGAAATCATTGCTCTCTGATTCAGCAACCCAAAACTACTGAGCACTGGCTGTGTGGTAGCACTCCTCCAGAGGAAGCACAGCCCTGGCATTAGGGATTCATGTGGTCATAATCTGCTAGAAAGCCCAGCCCTCTGACGGCCAAAAGTGTTCCAATAGGGACGCCTGGGTGGCTCAGTGGGTTAAGCCTCTGCCTTCGGCTCAGGTCATGATCTCAGGGTCCTGGGATTGAGCCCCACATTATACTCTCTGCTCAGCGGGGAGTCTGCTCCTCGCCCCCCGTCTGCCTCTCTGCCTACTTGTGATCTCTGTCTGTCAAATAAATAAATAAAATCTTAAAAAAAAAAGTGTTCCAATATACATGTAGAGAAAAATTTATTTATTTATTCCTTCCTTCTTTCCTTCCTCCCTTCCCCTCCCTTCCTTCTCTTCTTCTCCCTCCCTCCCTCACTTCCTTCCTTCCTTTCTTCTTTCTTCTTTCAAGATTGTATTTATTTGAGAGAGAGAGAGTGAGAAGAGGCAGAAGGAGAGGGAGAGAGAATCTGATGCAGACTCCACACTGAGCAAGAGGCTGACGCAGGCCTTGATCCCACGATAGCAAGATTGCGACCTGAACTGAAACCAAGAGTTGGCCGCTTAACCATGGAGCCACCCAGCTGCCCCTAAAGAAAGTTTCTTAAATGGTATTTGTAAAGAGTTGGGAATAGGGTGATTGCTAAGTCCCGTTCACTTAGGACAGTCCTTTGTGGCCCTAGAGTACTTATTTGTAGTGTTCCTTCTCACTCTGAAGTGTCCCATTTGACTGATCGATTATGTGGAAATTCTGTCCATGAGTATAAAATTCAGGAGGCAAACAAGTAGTTAAACGACAATAGGAAGCTGATTTCTGGATTCGAAGAGTTTTACCATACACTGGCACAGAATCATTTAAATATTTTCAATTTTTTTCATGATGACAGAGAAAATCTGTTCTACACAACTCATTTTTGCCTTTCCCTCACCAGCCTCTCCCTGTGGATCATGCCAGAGCATGGACAGTCTAGTGTGCCGCCAAAGTCAGTGATGCCTCTGAAGTACATTTTAAAAATATATTGTGTTTAGATTTCGGTTCCTTCTCTATTTCTGAGGAAGTTGCTGGGGTAGTCTCCCATGTTGACAAGGACAATTTCTTTTTCTTTTCCTTTTTTTTTTTTTTAAGACTTTATTTATTTATTTGACAGAGAGAGAGAGAGAGAGAGAGAGAGAGGGAGAGAGGGAGAAGTAGACTTACGGCGGAGCAGGGAGCAACATGCAGGACTTGATCCCAGGACCCTCGGATCATGATTTGAGCTGAAGGCAGACGCTTAATGACCTCGCCACCCAGGTGCCCCTGACAAGAACAATTTCTGAAGGAAGAGGATAGGATTGAGAGGAGGAAGAGAAAGAATAAAATCACAGTGATCATGTTCAAGTCCTCTGACTAGTCCTGTTGCCATAGGTGACCCTGTACTAATGTCTTTCCCTTGGAGTACACACGAGCAATGACTTTGGGGACAGCACAACCTGCCCACAAGCGTCACTCAGAAACCACCTGCTAAGGGAAGGACTCTGTGTCAGACTACACTCAGTTGTACTGACGGTGCGTGGGGTGGACCCCACAGCTTGCCTCCATGGGGATCGATTAATGCTGAAATTGTCAATGACTCAGCATAGGTTTCCTCCCCCATTGACTTATCAGATTCAGCCAAGCGCATCAGTCAGCCCCTGATGGAGCAGTACCCTCTTCTGCCTCTTGAATACTTCCTTCTCCAAGCAGTTTACCTGAAGGGCCGTTGCTAATCGAGTGATTTTTGTGGCCCTGTTTGCCTTATCTGGAACTAAACTGATTATTTCTTCTATTATGTGCCACTTGGGAAGAAAAAGAAGAAAATGCTACCCAACTGGGAACTCTGAGTTTTCATGAGGGAGAACACAAAGCTTAACGGAATTTGGGCTGAGTAGACAAAGGATGCCATGTAGTGAAAGGACCAGAGGAAAAACCTCAGTAGACAGAACACAACACACTGCCCCTGGGGAGAACTGCAGCACGATCTGGAGGCGCTGAGTACCCGCCACTCCCTGACAAGGGGCTAACACCTGCCAGTGTGTGCTCGGGCTGATGGGCACCTATAACTAGCAAGCAAAAGCACACAGCGTGTATGCGGCTAGTAAATAAGGAAATCACATAAACTAAGGAGCACAAATGACAGATTACAAAAATTTAAGACATCTACAGGTCCCTAAAAGTGCCTCTGTAAGAAATGTGTGTGCCTATATACAAGAATATGGGGAAAAGGCTTCTCCAGAACATTTTCCCGTTATATAACATCAAAAACAAAAGAGATGGGGAGTGTGCACTCTATGTGGTCATCTTATTTCTGCAAGGAATAGCAAGTCTCTAAAAATACAAAGAAAAATATTAAAAGCACACAAAAGGGACACACTTATAGAAATGGAGAAACATGTATTCAAATGCTAAAAAGAAATGGAAGGAAAGAAGCTTCTCTCTCCAAAACTGGCTATGGAAGAAGTAAGAAATACTTTAGCTTTCTAGACTTTGTGATCGAAACTTCCCAAACCATGACCTATCTAAAAGTGTGAATGGCATAAACTATGAAATGAGCAAAAGGCCAATTCAATTCTGATAGTGATGCCATCAGTATTTATCAGTGTGAGAGGATTTATTTTACAAACAGCATGTGAATGCAGCATGAGAAATGTATCGATAATAAAAAAAAAAAAAGAGAGAGAGAGAGGGATTGGACCAATGAGATGACATATTTACGGAAACCACAGAAGCCTATGGAAACTGATGAGACACAAAAGCCTCGTTTGAAAAAAAAGTATGTGCCACCATTCAGAAGTTGCTTCAATTTTTTAATAATTGAAATTTACGTGCACCGGTCCACTTGCACCCTTTGTTCTTCTTGAACTACACTGTTTTCTTGTAGCCTCATGTTTACTGAAGCCTAAAATTAGAACTGACAGCAATTCACTGCAACAAAGTGGGCTTCCTCCCCTGCCCGTCCGCCTGCAGCCCATGTCCCATTCATGCCCTAGAAATCCACTCATCTCTCGGTGGTCATCTGCCAAGAGAAGAAAAATAGGGCAGAGATGAAAACACGTCGTTCAGGCAGGGGAGTTGAGAGCGGACCTGCTGGCTTCTCCCTCCCCCCCAGTGCCTCCTGTCAGGGCCTCACCTCTGCACTGCTGGTCCTCGCTCTTGGCCTCCTCCGACACATCTGACGCCTCCAACAGGAGCTGCTCCAGCACTTGCTTGCACTCTTGCAGTAGGGTAGCTACCGCTTTTTGATTATTCATGACGATTACTCTTCCTCAATGATGAGTCAAGTGTCCCTGGGTCTACGGTGATCGATTACCCAGAAGAAGACATCGATTCTCAATAAAAGAGCCCCTTCAAGGCGGAGGTACCTGGTGAACAAAAGCGGGAGAGAGATGATTAACCGAAGCATCATCAATTATCTGTAAGGCTCAAGCAGGGAGGGATAATAGGGCAAACACATGAAAATACATGACAGCCCCTGAGGACTTTATTAGGGGAGTGTGTGAAATTACTGCAGGGCCTGGTCTGGATGGGCAGCACCTCAAAGGCGTCAGAGAGCAGAAGGGAGAGGCTCCTGGTACAGACCTTGGTTACCCGCAGTGATGTCAGCAGAATCCCACGAAGCCAAATGAAGTGAATATACCCTATGATTTATGTATCTTCCGCATACTTCACATCGGTGCCTCTGGATCCCAGTGGCACCACACTTTCTGTCTCTCTGGAAGTGTACAGGAAGCATCTGGCTGACAGTTCTAATATTCAGTTACAAGCACATGGTGATATGAAGTTTACCATTCTCATAACCCGCTACTGATTTCCCCTGTGAAGTATTCTTCATGGTACTTAGCATCGCATAATTTGGACCAAGATAGGCAATGGCAGATGCCAAATTTAAAGCTCTTCACAGCCAGGCACCTTGCCAAGGAAGATAGAGAAATGATATCTCAGAAAACCCAATTTCCTAGATCTATTATATGGATGAATTTATCATATGGACGGATGAATCTACTTATATTGCTATTTAACATATGTACAGTTGAGAGTTTTCATATGCAAATTTGAATATACTGTAATGATCTATGGCAGTCAAGGTAATTTCAAGAACAAAATAAATTACTATCAGTACAAAAATGCCTGGCAAAATTACTAGATTAACTAGTAACTAGATTAACAAATTAACCGGAAAGTTACTAGATTAACAAATCTTTTTGTTTGTCTTCCCTTTATTAAAGAATATACATCGGAAACAAAACAAACTTCCTTTTGTTTTGTTTACAATGAACAAATGAAACAAAGGAACTCTTTCTGAGTTGGCCAGGATAGATTGCAAAGCTGCTGTCTGGTTTAGACACTCTTGTAGGCACACAGAATTTTATTACCAAAGCAAGAGAGTCTGAAAGGGGAGAAAGCAACAGATAAATGGATGGCCCCAGTCCCTTTTTCTCCTAGCTTATACATGCAATGAAGTAATCATCAAAAACATTAAAGCAGTGAATTATTGTATAGGCTTTGGGATTAACAAGGCCTCACTTTAAGAAGCTAGTTTTGAATTTAAATAGCAAGAAAATTTTTTTTTCCTATTCTAAGACTCAAGAGGAATACAGAGTGAAAGACGAGCTCATTGTATAACCTACACATTTCATTTTTCATTCTAACCTGACTGGTATAGTTCATATGCTTTGGATTTTAAAATATACACATATTCTTTACACAGACAAACTGCCAAAGCAAAGTTTTCAGACGTTACAGGCTTGTTTCATTAAAATAATTGTGTATTGTTGGTGAAGAACACAAGTAGAGTACTTGAATACAAAATTCTTGTTACTTGAGAGTATTCACAAGTGAGATTGTGAGGAATTAGTTACTGGAAGCATTTAAGCATAACTATAAATTAAGTTGCTCTTCTCTTTAATATGTTTCAGAAAGTATTCCTGCATGGTTTGGATTGCTGGACTAAATGGTTTTCAGTGTCCCTTTTAGCTCAAGTGTTTTTAAGTCAATGTTGTGTAGTAAGAGCTGGCCATTAGCTTGCCTTTCTACGAAAGGAATCAAGAAGTAAGGGCTAGTCAGAGAGCTAATTAGTGGACTAGCATGAGGAAGAGGCCATGTAGCAAAGGCCATTCTTGTCCCAACATTCCTGAAAAAGGGAGATGTGGCTAGAATGGGAGGTTAGTATGAAGACTGAGAAATGCAGTTAGCTATGGGTGAATAGGACACATTCACTTTTCTTCAAATAAAAACAAGAAGGGGGTTCTCTTTGCTAGGATCATTTTTAAGACTTCATGTAGAAAGAGGGATATAAGAAGAAAATATGAAGAGTTCATGCACAAAGAAATAAAACTACTGTACTATAATTTTCATAGCATATCACCCCTTTGTCTAAAGGCTTATAGTAAGATCTTATTGGTGCCATATCATCCTCTTAAGGCAGAAAGTCATCTTTTGTTATATTAACAAGTTGAAATAAATTTTAATTTCTCTGTTTCTGTAAATGTTTAAACAGAAATAGCATGGAGAAATGGAAAGCAGACTTGGATATAGGAAAACTGTTACACACGAAAGTGTTCAATGGATATTTGTGACTAATTCAACTTCATTCTCTGTCATTAACTATTTGAGAGACCTCTGAGACGCACTTTTGAGACTCATTTTTCGTAACTGTATTTTATGGGGGTTAAGTGGGAACAATTGCTAATATCTTTCCAGGCCTTCAATTACACACTTAGCAGCCTATCTGTTGCTGTAGAATATCTGATACTTATTTACTAAATAATTCCTGTCTCTTTTGAGAACACTTAAGTATAATATCTTTATGTATACTTTTCTCTGTGGCTTAGAAACGTTGGCTTGAATCTTAGAGGTTGATTACTAAATAAATATAACTCTGCTTTTGTTCCCTCACTTGAAATCCTGATGCCTAATGCCCAGGATCATAAATCTCTTCCTTTTGTCTAAGTGCTGTGAAAGAGAGATAAGCTATGTGGTTCTGTGAGGACAAACAACAGGACTGACCTAACAATTTGGGTAAAACGAGAGCAGGTGAATGGGGGTTCTCTGAGGATGTGATGTTGGAACTCTGTAAACTCTGTAAACTCAGTAAGAAGAACAGGGCTTAATGAAGTTAAAATGGTGAGGAATGGACCTAAGTAGAAAGAAATATAGAGGAAATGAGAGAAGGCTAAATTAGTTAAAACAGGGATTAAAGGAGAAAGTTAATATGAGGTGAGTTTGGAGAGCTAAGTAGGGGCTTTTTAAGGCCCTGTATACCAGGTAACGAATTTTGTGTTTACCCTAAAAGTCATAGGAAACTACTGGTAGCAGGAGAAACATGACCCCAGATTTGCATCTGGAAAAAGTTCATTCTGTTTTGGCTGTAGTGTGTACTGGGGGCAGAGAGAAGAAGGTGATTGCAGGTAGACCAGTCAGACATTTATTGCCAACAATTTAGGTTAAAAATATCATCAATTTGTACCAGAGTCATAGGGATTTAGAAAACTGGACAAATTTGAGGGCCTTTTAGAGAGTAAATGCAGTATTGCTGTTGGATGGTTACGAATGGTCTTAAAAACGAGTCCCAAGTTTCTACTTCACCAAGGTTCAAAGTTGAATGGACAAGACATAAATACATCCTAGATTTTGTACTTCTAGCAATAAAGATAGTAAGAAAGATAAGTCCTACTGTCAAGAATAAGTAATTCGATTTTAACCAATAAAGTATTTCTTTAAAAAAAAAAGGAGATATTTTTTGAGATAATTAATGTTTAGTACTTGTGACTATCCAAAATGTACTGAGGATATTCTTTATACTTTTTGAAAGTTATAGCATTTTCTCTTTTCCCTGCAGAATTCAGGAGAGACAATAGGATGAAAATACTGTAACATGAGAAACACTTTGGAATCCAACCATCTGTCCAGACTTGTATGGTTCATTGTTAAGCATAACAGAGGCTGGAGCCTAGGAAATTTTCCTTCAGGCAGTAGTCCTGCTGGAAATTTTGGTCAGCTTCCTTTATAAAAGAATCATTTTCAATTTCAACACATATCAATTTTTGCTCCCTGAACTGTGGCATTCTTTGAGTTGTATGTATTTCTAAATTGAATCATGTTAGTTTCCTTCTATTTTTTTGTAATATATTGATCATTTTTTCTATTTTGACATGCCCCTATATATTTTTTTCTAAAAATTAAATAGAGAGAGGCCAGAAAAAGCAATAGGACATACAGATACCTTTAGAATAACACTAGATACCGAACAAAGTTAGAATCTAAGGCACACATGCACACACGTAGCCAAATTGTCATGTGCTCATACATTCCATGTTTGATTTGATACACGTGTACTTTATTTCGATTGGTGATGTAGAATTTAACTGAGTGGCTGAGTTAAAATTGACAAATCAGCCATCATTAAGAGTCAGCAAATCAGCAGACTATTCAAAGCCGCGTTTTCTTTTGGCATTTGTGAGTCTTTTTCCTCGGACAATTAATACTAAGGAAATGGGGGTAAATCAGGGAAAATAAAAGAATTCCAAATGTATTCCATGGTATACTGGCTGCCACCTCTGTAATAATCCACTGGCCAACCAGTCATAGTCTTTAAGCTAGAAGATGTGGGGAAACATAAAGAAATAGAAGAGATGGCCTATATTGCCAAGAAGTCTATAATATAATTATAAGACATAAATACACTTAAAATGAACTACACAAGGCATACTAAACACGACTATAGTCTAAAAGCTCAGTTTAAAATATCTTTGTTGGAATTCAATTTATGATTGGTTAGTTTCATAAACAAAGCCACAGAGCTCATTTAATTCATAAGTACATGAATAATTATGCGAAATATACCTTTTCATCTACATTCTAAATCATCTATTGTATTGTTTCTATGAGAAAATGTTTTCTGCTCTCCGGCATAGAACAAGAATGTGTTTCTCCAGTCCATTACTAGCAATGACAATCCAGCTTTTTACACCCTTTCACCCTTCCCTGAGCAATCCCACACACCAACTTTGACCATAGTGCCTCTGGTACTGGTTGGTGCAAGTGGGGAGACAAAAGGAGAAAGAGAAGTTTGACTGGAGTGTAAGATAGCCGTGCAGCTTGGATAGATATGTCTGGGTAATGGCCATTTTTAGCATTTTAAAACTGAATAAGAAGGGAGAAGAGAAGGCGACTTCTAAGTCATCAAAACCTGAAAGAGTAGACTTCTATTTCTAGCAGTATGGAAGGCTATACACCCTCACCAACATTCTCACTGAAGACAGGCAGAAATGCTGGAGAAGCACTTTAACACCTCTAAAATGTGTCAATAAAACGGTAAGAAAGGAAGGTCTACTCAGAAAACATAAACCAAGTAAAAGCTGGA